TGATTTTGAAAATGATGAATATATACCATTGATAATTGCCCCATCAGTTGCTGCACGAGGTTTAGATGTTAAAAATTGAATTCTTGTTACGAATTATGATTGTCCAAATCATTATGAAGACTATGTACATCACTATGGATGTATTGATCGTGCAGGAAATATCGGTTATGCTTATACATTTCTCACATCAAAACAAGAAGGATATGCTAGTCATATAATAGAACCTTTAAAAGAATCTGGTACGCCTGTACCAGAAGAATTAACTTTTTTATGGAATGATTATGTAAAAAAAATGAAAGCAATGGGTAAAGTCATTCAAATTAGTCGTGGCCATTTTAGTGGACAACATGGTTATAAGTTTAATTCAAAGATACACAATAGAAAATACAAAAAAAATAATCGGTTTAGAAGATACGGACGAAGCAAGTGAAGATATCCATGAAAAAATTCAATCGTTATTTAAGAGTAAAAAATTGACTCGAGCTAAAGACGATGCAAGAATTGCTGAAAATCAAGACATAGTAAGTAATTCAATTGTTATAATTAATGATACAGCATTAAAATCAGAAAGAGCCAAGAAATTTGCAACACGCCTTATATCGAATAAATCTGAAACTCGAGATTCAATAAGACAAGTAGCAACATCATTATTTCAACATGGCGTATGATTTAGTCAAACTTAGAGAAATGAAAGATGAGTAGGATGTCCTTGTACTTTTTTCAGTAACCGAATCACATTTCACATACTATTCCATTCAGAGTTACAGTCAGGAAATGAAGAGGATTTGAAAAATCTGCTATCGGTTCATTAAAAAAACAAAGAAAAATTACGAATGACTTCATTAATCTCGTGTTTCACGTCGTAGCAACTTTATAACGACTCCGATTGGTAATTTGCAGCGCTGGATCTTTTATTTTCATCATTTTTTCTTTAATTAATCGAATAACTTCTAGTTTTGCTAAATGAAGATCATATTCAGTGAACCATTGAATTTATAAATAAAGCTTTTTTTATCACCCGGTATAAGTTTTGTTTTATTTGGATAATATTGACTACGCACAAACATATTAACATCAGCATAATCACCTATATGTGCTAATGTTTCTTTGCTTAAAAGTTTCGATCGAGCATTTTGTCGAAAATCATTGATTTCTAATTCTTCTTCAAATATTTTCGATGAGTCTTCAGTGACCACTATTAGTTTATCTTTAGGTTTTCGATAATTTAATTTTATATTTAATT